CTGTGCAAACGGTTTTACTCTTAATTTGTTGTCACTTCCAAATATAATTATGCATAATTCTAAACGACTCTGTTCATATAGCTTCTCACACTACGCTAACAACAGCAGGAAAACACATCTGTTAAATAATAATAAAAAATGCAGGAGGGATACATACGTTAATTTGTTAAGCACGTACGTGTTACGCTGAAGACTCTCCACCTATAGATTGATAGCTGGGGCAAGTATCACAAAGGGGAATTTCTTGCTTGTCGATAACTTGTCGGGTTTAAGGCATCTAATCAACAAATCTCGCTTCATGATACAGGTCTCTCACCTGAATGTTTGTCGTAGAGCAACATAGTTTTTCTACAGCGAAGCGTGCAGGAGAACAATAGAATGTGCTGTGAGGCCGAATGGAGGAGATAATGGTTGAAAGAGTACAGAAGCAGGACGGGGAAACTGGATGTATTGTGCGTATTACATATTGATGAGATCAAGATTCATTATCTGACGGACATCTATGCCAGTTTGGAAATTTACATGAAATCAATACGTTTGTTCTTGAAGCGACCCCTTGTGGCTATTTTATGCCCTACAAATCTAAACGTTATCGCAAGACCATAACCAAAAAAATATATCTAATTATTATTATGCTATGCATATAAAAATGTTATTTTATTTTTGTTTGTGTTATATTGGTTTGTAGGTTTTGTAATTATTACCCTTGTCCATCAAATGCTTGTTCGTTTTTTCCGAACATTCAAAAATTTGGAATTGTCCTAGTTTATAATTGTCAGCCAAGCAACGTCAATTTTTTGGTTTCATTATACTGAATTCCGGGCCCTCGGACATGGGTGTAATTCCACAATGATCGTTACTGTACACCTGGAAAATCCTGATTTTAAAATGAGATGTATGTAGGTCAATGTATGTATGTAGGTCTATGTATGTGCTATATGTTTGGTCTAATATGTCTTTTATGTACCATTTTCATATGTAACGTTAATATTAAAAACTGAAATTCCGTTCTCATCAATTTCCCTTCTTCATCATGTAACAACCTAACAAAATCTCCGTATTGACGCTTTTTTAAATACAAATGACTGGAAATTATCTTTAAATTACACACAGCTGTCCTTCCAGGAAGTCAGCTGACGGAGATTTGATATATCGCTATCGTGCGCCTGTCTTCCAGCAAATTATGTCAACTAGTTTTAAAAGAAAGTTATAGAAAATGATTGATTTTTCATCAATTACTTATGATTTATTATTTCGCCTTCATCATATTATTAGACTGCTGTATTTTGTATCTAAACGTTTAGGTAACCATTCCTTCGTCAAATTCGAGTTAGTGAGCATATAAAATGTTCAGCCATGACACGGGTATGAAATGTGTAGGTTACTCGTCAGCCACTAGGTGTCCTCAGTGCCCTTATGTGTGGAGGTTTAATGTTTTTACGTGCGAATGTACTGTAAACAGCAATGTAATTGTTTCATCTTTAAGTGATTCGCATCGTTGAATTGGACTGCCATCGGTATTCGGATGCATTTTTCACTGTGTTGGGGATACAAACTGGGAATTATCCCTTTTTTCGTTTTTCACAGATAACTGTACGTGTTTGTACATTGTCAAATAAGTTTATGAGGAATTTCACTAATAAATCATTTTGCATTACAATACACACACAAATACACTATCCTGGCAACACATTCACATGCTTAATGCACACTGAAAGCTGAGTATTTAATTTTCTGCATGCAGTAGTGGACATGGCACAGCTTCCAGTCAAACCAAGTAATAATAAAGATTATAGCTTCTGTGAGAGGCGGAGCCGGGCGCGGGCGCGCTCCAGGTGTTCGGGGACGCGCACGGGGCCGAGCGTCCATCCCCAGTCAGCTGCGAGGAGTTGCATTGTAACGCTGCGGCCGCCGAAGCTACTCCCCTGGAATCCGCTTCATATTTTCAGTCCGTTTTACTACGTCCGTTTAGGCGATTTACATTACAGGAGGGCGACCGGTTTTGGAGTTTTTAGGTATGATTCGTGCCGGAGGAACATGGAAGGCGTTTTAATTTCCAGCAGAAAGTGGGCTTTAAATCGCACTGCTGAGCGCCGTTGCAGCCCCTGCTCCGAAGAGCTGCGCTGAATCGCCGCCGGGGAGACCACCCCCCCCCGACAACCTCCAGTCTACTTCGAATTTCCCCCAATCGATGGACCATTAATAACACGATCGCATTTCATTGCATCGGTCGCCCTGAATTACCGCCGTCCGGCACCGCTGAGCGAGTCGTTTGCCGGAGCTGGCCGGCGATCTACCTTCCGAGCCCCAGGTTCACCTTCTGGAAAATGGAGGCTGTTATGGAGAAGGAGTGCAGCGCGCTTGGAGGACTTTTCCAGACCGTGATTAGCGACATGAAGGTAAGTCATATTTACTCACCCACTGTCAAAATTGTAGACACTTATTATCTCTTTATGGGGTATGGACTTATTTGCACATGCCCCCAAAACTGTAGCCTACATCTGATCGTCTCACCCTTATTTATGCGTTAACATATTTGTTTATTAATACCACGTTATTTATTCTATCAGTTTTATTTTTATTACCCTATATATATTGTTTTGTGTATTTTTGTCTTGACAGTATGTTTAAATCGTATTCTCAAGCCACTACCTGCGCCAAAACAAATTCTTCGTACTTTCAGTATGGACTACAGGGCGAATAATTGATTCTGATTCTGATAGTAGGATCGCATTATTAATACTGACTCCTGCATCATGCATGGGGCTTCAGGTCGCCATCTCCGGTGCTTTTTTATTCTTGCAAATCCAGCCGATCTCTGACCAAGTTTTTCTGAACTATCTGATAAAGGGGGGCAGATTAGATCAAACCCTGCTGACACGAGTGACTCTTAATTTGCGTTTCTCAAACGTTTCCCTAGTTAAGTCAATTATTGATTAATTGTGGACTTTGGGGGAAAATGTTGCATTTGCTTTCTATGTGTCCGTGCCACAAGATAAAAACATCCGACATTAGCGCGCCCGTGTTTATAAGGAGAAGCGGGCATCTTTGCGGCGGGATCCGCAAGGATTCAAGGGTTCAAGAAGAAGTACTTGTGGCATCTTTCTATTTGTGTCTCATTGAAATTTACTGGGGTGATGAGACCGAAAGCGGTACAGCGCGCTTCCCACTCACTTTGCTGATCCGGAGGAGCGTCTGTCTGGCCTTGAGATGTTGCAGTTGTGGGTAGGTGGGTGACTGTGACAGGGTCCACAACCGTCTGAACTACCTGCATTTTTATTGCCTTGTTATGAACAATAGCGTCGGAATAAGACGGGAAATCAGATCTTGTTTCTCATTAACAGAACCTGGCAGACCGACGATCTGGTTAATGATTCTTTGATCTCAGATCCTGTGGCTTTCCTGGGTATTTTTCTGAATAAATAACATAAGCAGCAAACGGGAATCATGCTACTTTGTTATGCCATGTGTAAACGTCTGGGTTGTATGAAGGAGCTGCCATCTCGCCGTTAATCCCTCCACTGTAGTGAATGTCTAAATACGGGATTTATTCAGATTGTAATTCCCTGCCTGGGAATTATAAATTAAAATGCGGAGATTTGTCTTGGCAGCTCCCGGGCTGCTTTCACACCTGCTCCGGGGCCGGAGGAATGCTGACCCCCAGGGGGAGTGGGGGTGGGTCGTCTAGGGCCCCCAAGCGCAGCTTTTCGGGATGTAAACACGCCGACGCGGGGTTCTGCTCAATAAACGGGCCCGGATAGGTTAATAAAATGCGTTTACGCCTTAGATTGCTTAATAAAGCCACTGATGACGTTACCAAATTATGTGTGCTGCTTCGCAAATTTATTGATGCTTAGATTTGCAAATGTAGGTGTTAATGTACAGTGTATTTTTTTTAAAGGCAGGTGACTTATTGAGAAAATGTCCCCAGTGAGTACTGTGTACCTGTATAGAGTCTCATATTCTGCAACTCAGATACGGGAAAACTACCAATGTCAAGGGTTGGTTGATGTGAATTTACTTGAAATTCCACTACAAACATTCCTCTAACTGTGTTTATTACTATGGAAGATGAAACAAATGGTAAAGCTTTGAGTTTTGGGGAAATACTGAAAAACTTTTGGAATGTTTTCCTTTATGGTCGCCGGGAACTGTGTGTCGGAATGCCAAATCCTGGGTAGCCAAAGGCAGCTGGTAACCGGAATCCTTCCCCAGTCCCTGTGGCGCTCCCAGTGCCGCTCCCAGTGTGCTCCCAGTGCCGCCTGTGTGCTTACCTGCTCGTTAGCTCACCCAAACGATGTTTGTAGGAGTGGGCGTGATTCATGCTCCCATTCCCGCGAGGAACGCCTCCTGTCGCCATTGGCCCCGCTGGCCTCTTTTTAAACTGTGAAATGCCCCTCACTGGTGTGGTAACAAGCTGAAAATACCCCCAGAGAAGAAGAGAACGTGGACTGGGAGAACCCCAGACCGGACGTCCTTGGGAGGAGAATCGCTGCATGCGACCTGCGATGGAGGTGGTGATTGTGCTCCGCGGTCGTAGGGGGGCAAACCCTCTTTTGGGACCTTTCGTGTGTTTCCAAGGACTCGGGAATCCAACCTCCTGTTTCTCTTCTCTGTTCTCAGCACCCAGCTCAGATTTTTATATCTTAAAACCGGTTTGGGCCTGGATTGCGAACCGCTTTTGGGTTCCATTCCGTTTCCGCTCATCCCAGCCGTTTTGAGGATAATCCGATTTTTTTAAAGCTGCCCTGTAATTGCAGCAGCCGTTACTTGTAGCTAAAGGCTAACTGCGGCGCTTCCTTGTCCTGCCGGGCCCCAGCCAGGGCTGCCCGGACGGGAAGTGCCCCACGCGGGTCGGCTGGAACACACTGGTCATTGTCCTGGGGCAGCCACTTCCTCAAATATCACAATCATTCCATTTGAATAGAACATTTCAGTTGTGAACGTCACCCCACGCAGTTCTTGTTTTTGGGCAATTTCTCTATCAGTGGTGTCTGGTAATGTCATACCAGGACTATGGCGGGTCCGTGGCTCTTAATCGATTAATATGAGCCATTCTTTGGAATTGAAAGTAATTCCGAGTCTTCAGCTGAAAATAATTTTCGTCCCTCTCTGGCTGGCTTCATAATTTACTTTGCAAAATCAGATACCTTATTCTGAGTCATTTGAATTTTTTTTTATTATTTAATCAGTGCACTTAAACAAAGACCCACAGATCTTTCTTTGCCCCCCCCTCCCCCCGCTGTGGCATGGCAGTTAACCCACTTCCCTCAAACATCACGTGTGGCGAGCTGTGGTCACGCTGAGCTGTAGATGGGCAAAATTAGATTATTTCCCCCCCCCCCCCCCAAAGCCCGGATGGTAGAAGAGTATTATCACAGAAGCAGAGTGAAGCGTGGTCCTGTCTCAAAAGGCTGTTCTGTGTCCCCACAGAGCAGTTACCCGATCTGGGAAGACTTCATCAGCAAGGCCGCCAAGCTGCAGTCACAACTCAGGTGAGTCAGCTGCCCCCCCACCCCGCCGCCTCTGTTTCTCCTGTTCGATTCTCACTACACCTTCATCCTGGGGAGACTTCCTGTCTGTCCCAGACTGCCATGCATGGTACCAGCGTGCCTGTGCCCCCGGCTCGCTGGAACGTGCCGAGTCTCACACCTCCTCAGGCTCTGAAATAGATGGATTTTTGTAAACTCCGATTAATCATAGCGTCCTATGTGTCACAGGGAAGGCAGACATATTTAAATAAAGAATCCTGGAGTGTAGCTAATGTTTATTGTTGGGGTTAATGAGCTAGTTCTTTGCTGGTTGGTTTTCAAAGCCAAATTATGTGGTTAAATAAGTATCGTCAATATATCCAGTCAGGGTTTATTGTTTGAGGTCATGGAAGACCTCAATTAATATCATTGGAGTTACCATAAATATTTTATTAAGTTTTGTTAAAGTGCTTTGGGAGTATAACAGGCTTGGTTATGCTCATAAATACATCTCTACTGTCTACTAATAGACTAACATTACAGATTGGGCTTTTAAAAGTTATTACTGAATGATTTTAATGTTGCTCTGAATGTCAGCTGCTAAGAGGTGTAGCTGATATCCGGTGATTTATAAATACAGTCATTGTGGTTTGATTTCCTCCGGTGGAACGAGCCCGTCAGCCCTCCTCACTGAGGGATTATGGGAAATGCCGGATACAAAGCAGGGGTCTGAGTGGGGGACTCGTCCCTGTGGTTTGTGGGCGATGGCCTACACTGTGTTGCAGGTGGTAGAACCTGAATGAGTCGTGTTCCTCGAAGGCTCCAGAGGTACTGGGCGCGATCTGCGTTCCGACAGTGGTGGAACCTCCAAAAGTCAGTGCCTCGAGAGGGGGGCTGACGTTATGGACGGCCGTACGGTCCCTTCCGCTGCTCCCGTCTCTCTGTGTCCCCAGTGGTATTTGCTTCCGCATCTGGATCAGACTGGTTCCAGTTATATTTTACTGGCACTCCTGACGGCTGCTATTTTCTGGATGGTTCCTCGTCCAGATTGGGTGAAGACGCCCCCCTGTGGTGGAACCTCCTAAAGTCAGTGCCTGAGGCACAGACCTCGAAGGCCGGGCCGTTGACGGAAAGCTTGGGGGTAATAAGGCAGAACATGCCCTATGTGGACCCCGATGCCCCCCCCCCCCCCCCCCGCAAGCCCCCCAAACTGAAGTGCCTGTAATCTCAGCGGAAGGCTATGGGGATGCCTTTAATGAACTCCAGAGATCCTCGCCCTGTAATTTAGGTTGCCCCCTCCGAATCTGCCTAAGGACCCCTCTAACTGCAGAAGCTTCTGATCAACTCGCCTTTCAAGTGGCAGAGATATCATGGCCTCTTTTCGGCTTCGACTAATTTTTGTCTTTCCCGGCAACTACACAGATGATCATCTTGGGGTTCTTAAAGACCACATGACACGGGCCCCAGCCCTGATATTGTGGGTGAATTTCTGTTCGGTCGGCCCACGTTTGACTGGCGAGATGCAGGGAGCAATCGGCTGGGTCATGTGACACAACCTCGGCGGCGTTTATATGGTTGCTGCTGAAAGCGGGAAGGGTGGAGCACAGAGGGGCCTCCTAGTAACGTCTCTGGGTGGTTTTCGCGCCAGAGGTCTATATTGGGGCGGGACCACAGGGACAGTCGCCCCAGCTGGAAGCTGATTGGCCCTCGGAGTGCCCCCTCCCTTGTCACTCACAGATTCAACTTATATCATTGGCTAATGATAAGGTTGGTCCCTTTATGTGTTGAGGGAGCCATATAAATAAATCTGGCATGGATGTTCTAGGCGGAGTTGGCCACATTTCCCCGTTTTAGCACAGTGTGGGATTTTAATAGACCCATGTGTGTGTAGGTCTGGCCTCTGGTGTGTGCGCTGCCTCAGAAGACGCACGCCTCTGAGCGGTGGTGAACTTGTTCTGGAAATGGTTTTTCACTAATAAAATTCGACACTCATTAGAAAGAGTAGGGAAGCGTGAGAGGCTTCTGGTTGTGTGTGATCAGCCTGTTACCCACTTGAAGCACACCGGTGTACTTTTCCAGTTTATTTTAACTAAACAGAACATCATAACCCACTCTCCTGCCGTGGCGTTAATCTAAGCAAACGGCTCTATTGATCGGTGTCATCAGGCTATAAACTGGGCCGGCGCGCTGGACCTGACCTTCGTGTTTGGCTGGACGAGGGCCGACCTGGGTTCGATTTTCGTTCTTGAGCAGGGTAGCAGTGAAGGGATTTTAACCCTTGGAACCATTTGGTTGAAGGGGAGCCCCTGTTTGGCCCTTGAACATGGCAGTTGCTTTGGGGAAGCATGCCGCCGTATCCAGCCGGGCATCTTAATGCCAATCGGCTACGTTTTCACTCTTGGTTCCGCTTTATCATGTCGCACTAAATGTTCCAGACTTGTTTGCTTATGTTGAAAGTAAACAAAAGAGAGCCAATTTTAGAAGGCTACTGTTGCGTGCGAAAATGAGCGCGGTGTTTACAGTACCGCGGCACAAAGGCCGTGAAAAGGCTTGTTTACTCTAGCTGTTCATTACCTCACACGGGCTCTGTGTCCTCGAGGTCACGGCCTTGTAGCCGTAAACGCAGCCGCTGTTCTTGGAATAATCCCACCCGTCCTGGGCCAGAGCAACACCACACAGGGGTGGATCCCCCCCCCCCCCCCCCCCCACAGACCCACACCGCCGGCGGGGGGGGGGGGGGGGGGGGGGGGGGGGGGGGGGGGGGGGGGGGGGGGGGGG